ACAGGGAGAAATTGCGTCCTGGTGTCAGACCTCTCAGGACAAGGCGGGCTTGGCCTAGCACCAGGGGCTGTTCCCAGGAGAGATGTCCAGCCTCTGAGAGTTGGGCATGGCATACCCCTTCCCCCAAGGAGCTGCTGGCCCAGGCCAGGTTGACCATGGCCGTGCCTGCATGCATCGACACCAGCAACTCACTGGGCGTGAGTGGAGCTGTGGAGGGAAGGAAAGCCAGTTAGCCAGGCTGCTGACCCTGGTTCTCAGAGCCCTGTGCATGATGCCAGGGGTTTGACCCACATAGGGCTCTTGGGTGTAGAAATGGAGAATGGGCTAAAGAGGGCTCCGGCGCCACTGAGGGAAGAGCCCAGGCTCTCAGAGGTAGCCCTGCCCTGCCCACCTCTTCCTCCTCACCACCTTCCCCATGGCTCACTCACAGGTCCAGCCAGAGGTGTTGGCTGCTGAGGTGTGAAGGGGACCCGCCTGGGAGACAATCTCCACCTCGTACTTAGTGCCTGGCATCAGGGCCAAAAAGCTTGTGCTGTCCACCTCGGCTCCCACGATGCTGGTGCCTACCCAAATGCCTGCCTGGTACAGGGTCACCTGGTAGCTGTCCCGGCCTCCAGGAGCATGGACCCAGGATGCCCGGAGCTGGGTGGGACCTTCATTGGTCACATTTACCAGACGAGGGGCAAGGGGGCCTATAGAGAGAGCAAGGTATGGGGTAGAGAGAGGAAGGGAGAAGAGAAGTTAAACCAAGTCTCTGGCTCTTCCCTTCCCAAGAGATCCCCCACTTCTGCCTCCATCCTTGGTGCTATCAAGAAACACCAGAAGCCAGAGACACTGGCTCAGGGTGTCAAGTAAGCCCCCAAATGTGCTGGAAAGTAGGGCCAGCATTTATCCCAGGCAGCAGAGAACAAGCTAGAACTCTATTGAATGAGTGAATCAATCACTTACTTTCTTCATATCCCCACCCCTCTAGACAAAACTAGACTGGGCAGCATGAGAGTTAAACCAAGTGTCTTTTCTCAGCCCCTGTACCCAAGAAGCTTTTAAAGACCTTAAGTGGATGAACAGGTGGGTATGTGAGAGCCCAGGGGTGCCCCTCCAATCCCAGAGCTTGAGCCTGAGATCTGGAGTCCCACAAACCTGGCCCAGTCACCTAATTAATACCTCCTTTTAAATGGGGACCCTCTACCTCACAGAGGGCCAAGAGTCACTCTAGGACTGAGCCCCAGCTAAAACCCAGATCTTTGGACTCCCAGGCCAGACCTTTTTCCAGCACCTTCCCAGGCTACCTGAGGTCTCCCACCCTCAGGAAGACTGAATAGAATTTAGAAAACAGTGATGGTGGAGGGGAAGGCCTGGGGTGGAGTGGAGGAGTCACACATCAGAGAGGGACGTGCCCGGGGGGGATCCCTCAGGTCCACCACAGGCTCAGCAGACAGGAGAAGCAGGGCTGCTTGCTCAGGCCAGCATGAAAAGGGGCTTCCAAACCCAGTTCTGGGGGCCTAGGGTGCTTCCAGGGACGAGAGAGCCCCGCTGTGTTTCCTGAGCTTCCTTAATTCCATGACTCTTTCCAGAGCCTTCTCTCTCCCCTGCTCTTCCCTAGGGCTGAGGGATAGTGTGTGGCAAGGAGAATGGCCTCTGGACACATTGCCTGAATGTGAATCCCAACTCCTCACTACTCCCATAGTGCTGAGGAATTGAGGGAAAGTTACTTTCCTTCTCAGTGCCTCAGTTTCCTCATCTGTGAAATGGAGGTAACTAGAGTTGTTATTATGAGACTTAAGTGAGAGGACACAGGCAGAACACTTAGCCAAGTGCCCACTGAACATTACCCATTCCTGTTATTAGTAACTGTTCATGGCCCAGATGGGGCTAGAGGCCAGGTCCTGACAGGGTCCCTACTACTGCCCCCGTCCATGCTGTTGGCAGTGACAGAACGTGAGGAATGACAGACCTGTGGCTCCCCACAAATGAACAAAGCACTCATTCTGCCCACCCTACAATGCCAGAGGGGCCAAGGTGCTGGGGGAGCCCTAAAGAAGGAAGCAGGTCTCCTGAGGCCAAAGAATGAGGGAAACAACAGCAGGCTGGTGTGTGACCCAGCTGCCTGCCCACATGGCACAGAGAGGGTGAGGGGACATGCACCCCTCGGAGTCCAAAGAGCAAGGTAAGGGATGGCTACTCTTGGGGTGGAGAGAGGAAGGAAGAAGAGAAGTTGAATCAAGTCTCTGGCTCCTCCCTTCCCAAGAGATTCCCCCACCTCTGTCTCCATCCTTGGTGCTATCAAGGGCACTCACACGTCCAGCCTGTGGCGTTGGTGCTGCTGCTCTGGTCTGGCCCCCGCAGCGTGGCCAGCTGCACCAGGAACTCAGTGCCTGGGGATAGCTGGGCCCAGGAGAAGTTCTGGGCCTCCGGAGCCAGAATCTCCTCACTTTCCAGAGTCAGGGGTCTCAGGCAATAAAGCCGTAGCTGGAAGCCATCCCTTCCCCCTGGAGGGGGACTCCAGGAAGCCCTCAGTGCAGGAGGCTGCGTAACAAGGCCCAGGCTCAAGTTGGCAGGAGAAGCAGGGGCTGAAGGACAAGGACTTAGAGTCAGCTGAATCCCCACCTCTCCTTCCCCTTGATCTCCACTCTTCTCCTGGGTCACCAAGCAAGCCCCCAAAACTCCCAGTCTAAAAACATAGCTTCCGTTGGGGCTCAGAGCCCACTCTCCTTCCTTCCCATTAAAATCTTTTGAAAAGATGCCCACCCCGACGCCTGCTCCTGGACTGTGACATGTCATCTGGCCCCCTTGGACTCCACCAGCACCAAGCTTGGTGCCTGCCCTCTCACATCCCTCTGGGACCTGGACTCCAGCTCATCTGCCAATAGTCAGTTCCTGTAAGGTCTGTCTGTCTGTCCGTCCCTGGCCTGTGGTGAGGGGTGCGTTCTTGGCCTCCCACTGAAGCTCTCTCCCCGTATCCTACCCAGACCTACAGGCTCCTCACCCAGCTCACTCTTCTCTAGGAAACCTTTTCTGACTCTCTAAGCACATGTCCCTTCTGTGAGGCCTAAAAGATGAGATTGCACTACATAAAATTCCTGATACTCAGCTATTTTCACCTATAAGAATGCAGTTTAATATGTTCAAGCTAACACGTCATGTACATTCCCATTAAGGTATCAACATTTATCATAATATAATGTGTAAAATCATATGCTTTTATACATATAAGAAAACCATCTGTTAACTTGTCAGTCTTCTTTTCTAGAATGTCTTGTTCACAATTTTTAGCCTCATACCTAGAAAATGGGAGGCATTCATCAAATATTTGTTGGAGGGAAGAAGGGCGGGATAGTGGGTGGATGAATAGCCAGCCAGAAGGTAGGAGGTAGAAAATGCTTGCAGACAGATTCAGGAAAGGCCTCACCTTGTACTAATGGCTTCTGTCAAGAACATGGAAGTGCAGAGAGCAGAGGAAGCCAGCCCTCCCCGCCCCCCCCCAGCAGCCCACCGCCCCCAGGGGATGCCACCAGGAACTCACAGGTACAGGTGCAGGTCCTCTGGATGCTGGAGCTAAGGTTCCCTGCCCAGGCCCATACAGACACATTGTAGCAGGAGCCGGGCACCAGACTCCTCAGGGTCAGGTTGGATTTGTCTGGACCCAAGTCAATAAGGCTGCCCAGTGACCTCTGGCTGCCCTCCTGGTGCCACATGACCCTATAGCCTTCCCGCTGCCCTGATGCTGGGGTCCAGCCAATGGACAGATCAGAGGGGCTACCCATCTTGATGACTTCCAGTGATTGTGGTGCCAGGGGATCTAAAGAGAGGGGCAGTTTGGAGAGGGGGCCACTCAGTGTCTATGTCCCCTTGCCCAGTTTTCCTGAGTTTCCTCTTCACTCTTACTCCTCCCCACAAGGCAAGGGGCGACAGTGGCTGGTACTCACGTGTGTAGCCCACAAGGCTCTGAGTGATGACTCCTAGAGATGAAACAATGTCCACCCAGTAGCGGGCCCCTGGCACCAGACCACAAAAGGTGATGTGAGTGGCACCAAGTGGAATGGAGATGTTTCCAAGGAAGCCTGGGCTACCCTCAGCATAGAGCAGTGCCCGCTGCCCAAGCTCCCTGGTTGTTTCCAGCCCCTCCAGATGCAACTTGGTGCCATTTTCTGGTCTGGGCAGAGTTGCAGGACCTGGGGAGGAGGTAGGCCCTAAACAGTGAGGTCCCCCACTGCCTCTTGATGCAGATGGGCTAGGCAGGACCTCACCCTGCTCCCCACCAGCACAGACTCACCATCCAACCAGGCGCAAGTCTGGACCCAGGCATCATAGGGTCCAGCCAGGACCCTCAGCTCCAGAGCATAGTGTCCGCTGGGCATGGGCCCTGGGAATGTGGTGTTGAGGGCCTCAGGGCCCAGAGTGATATTCTGCTCCACTGGCCCACTTAACCTCAGCAGAAAGCCATCCCGGGCACCTGGCCCTACCTTCCAGCTCGCCCAGAGCTTGGGGAACAGGGGAGTCAATACCAGGTCGAAAGGGGCAGAGGGATCTGTGAAGAAAAAGAACAAATATGTGCAGAAAGATCTAAGCAGTGAATGAGAAAAATCCTACTTTTTCTGCACTGGCTTCTTTCTGTACACAGTGGGCCACATCTCATCCAGATGTTAGCAGCCACCATTTGCCATGTTCTTGGTAACTGCTGGGATCTAGCTGCTACCATCTGGCCATGGACAACAGTACTTGAAATGAGCACACATCCAGTGATTAAGTATGTGCCTGCCAGCATGGTCCTGCCAGCTACATGTAGCCTCTCACACCCAATCCTCATAACACCAGGATGTGGACACTACTATTATCATCCCTTTTAAACATGTAGAAATGAATACACAGAGAAGGTAAACGACTTGTCCGGAGACCCACAGCCAGCAGGTGGCAGAAACATGCAGTCTGGTTCCTCTACTCTTAACAACTGCACAACAGTTCTCTGAGTAAAATCATGGTGACATTGGGGCAAAGTCACCACAGGCTCTGCAGGTGTCCAACACGGGTCAGATCAGCTCACCACTCAAGAGCTGCATGACTTGACTTCTTTCTTTCTCTAAACTTCAGCTCTCCCTACCATAAAATGAGAATAATAGGACTTACACAAGGCTGCTTTGAGGATTAAATGAAACAATACACAGAAAGTGCTTAACCTAGAGCCCAGCAAACAGAAGGATCACCTATCATCACCTCTATCACTTTCTCAGGTGGGTATCTACCACCACTCCCTCTGAGCCTCCGGAGGAAGCTCCCTCCCCCAGCAGTTGTATCCTAGCCACTTGGCCAGAGGAAAAGAGCTGAACAGCTTCTGCTGTGTCCCTTTCCCCTCTAAGGCACTCACAGGTCCACTCAGTGGCATTGGGCCCTGCTATCTGATGGGGCCCAGCAACAGCAGTAAGAGTCAGCTCATAAGGGGTGCCCGGAGACAGATGAAGGAAGGTGTGATTGGAGACCCCCCGTCTGACTCCTGCAGTCAAGTTGGTGCCACCTAGGAGGTCTGTGAGCACAAGTTGGAGCCAGGCAGCCCCCTCGGAGCCATTCCAGGAGGCTTGCACAGCATTGGTGCCCAGGGTATACAGCACCAGGTGATCTGGAGACACAGGGGCTGGAAGAAGGATGGAGAAAGCCAAGTCAGGCTTGAGAAACGGCCCTGGAGCAGGATGCTGGCCCTGACCCTGGCACTAGGGAGCCCCCAAACCACTCCCACCACTCCTGGATTAGCTACCATCTGGGGCCCCACCCAGGTGCCCACCTCACCTGTCCATTGGTGGAGACTGGTCTTTGCTTGGAGGTTGCCAGCCCAGGTGATAACTTCTAAAACATACTCACTACCTGACAAGAGGTTACCAAAATTGTGAGACAGGGTGTCCGAAGGCAGGGAGATATTATGTGCCAATGTCTTGGAGTCCAGGTGGTAAAGGAGAAGTTGGTAGCCATCCTGCTCTCCAGGGGCTTCACCCCAGGAGGCTTCCAGGCTGTATGGGCTCCCAGGGCTATGGAGCTGCAGCCCATGGACAGCTGATGGAACTGCAACAAAGAGAAAGGACAGCACCAAGGTCAGGACCTAATGGGCCTCTCTCCCGGCGGTAGTGTTTCTGATGGGTAACTATTCCAGATATAGTTCGCAAAGAAGTTGACCCCTTTTGGGTATCCTGCTCCCTGCCAGCCCTTTGGGGTAAGCCACCTCCCAGCTTGGCCCTAGGCAATGCCCATCCTCCTCAGCCTATAGGCCTCTTACTGGTGCGGGCAGTGAGGGTGATGGTGACATTCTGCCCACAGGGTCGCAGGGCAGTCATTTCCAGCTGATAGCGACTCCCTGGCACAAGGTCCTGGAACTCGAAGCTGGATGTGTTGGTGAGGGCCTGGAGCTGCTGCCCTTCTGGAGTGCCAAGAGGACTCAGACGTGTGAGGCGGAGGGCATGGTGGAACCCACCTGGCTCTGGGGCAACCCAGCTCAAAAAGAGGCTAGTAGGCCTTCCCTGGCTGCTGATGTTCACTTTAGGGGGTGGGCCTGGGGAAAAGAGGGTTCCTTCAGAATCTTCCAACACTCCTGAAGAAGGAAAGAAAGCAAAAAAGGACAGGACAGACCCAGGATCTGATGTGGAAAAATTGGCCCTGAACCCCCCACTCCTCAACCCCCAGAAGACCATATCCCTGGAGGACACCGACCTCCACTCTCCTCTCCTGAGCTTCCTTCCCAGGAGTGGCATGGGTCTTCCTGTAGGAAGCAAGGGAGAAGAGGGGGAAGAGATGGGCAGAGGCCTCTGAGGTCCAGGCCTCTGGGAAAGCCATGGGGGACAGGGCCAGGATTCCTTGTTAACACCCCCACACAGCCAAAGGGGCATCTCCCAGAGGCATGCCCAGGGCTTAGGAGGCAGCCCCAGGCAGGCTGAAGCAATCTGTTCTCCATCCTCCCTGGCCCAGTGGGAGGGAGCAGCCGCTCTCCTTGCTTAATGCAGACCAGCTGTGGGCCCTGTGGGGCTGTGGGCAGCCTGGTCGTGTCCTGGACAGTGGGCCCATCTGCCAGGCCTGTCCCCCCTGCCCACCTTACCTCGGCCAAAACACTCTGGAGCCAGAGAAGAACAGCGAGCAGGAATGGGGACCTCATCCTGATGTCTGCAGAGGAAAGTTGGGAGGCAGCAGGGGAGGAGCCAGCCCCCCCACCTTGGCCTGCTGGCTGTTTGGCAGGAGTGGGAAGGGCAGAGTTTCCAGCCGACATGGCAGGCAGCAGGCAGCAAAGGGCAAGGGGCTGCCTCTCAACCCCAGACCCTGGCCCTTATCCTGCCCAGCCCTGGCAAGGCTCATGAGGGAAGAGAGGCAGGCGGGGATTGGCTGTGGGCCCAGAAAGTGGAAGGGGACTATGACTGTCAGCCTACAGACAGGCCCACCTCTTCTCTCTGCCTCCCCCCACTCCACCCTAACTCTAGCAGCTGCCTTTGAGGGAGAAAAGGTCCTGAGCTCTTGGAGAAGCCTGAGCGCTGAAGTGGCCTTGCAAATGGACACACTGCAGTGGTAGCTCACTCCCCCACTCCCTGACCTCAGAAGAAAAGCACGGTGTCCAAGGGCTCCATCAACCTGTGTTAGATAGGGTGTTTGTGTTTCCGTGTGTGTGTGTTGTCCTGGTGGCACTATGTGGAAGAGTGTTCCTGTGTCCTGAGTGGATGGACTAGCTGAGTGTGTGTCCATGTGGCACCACAGAAGCATATTAGAGCCCTAAGTCATAGCAATTGTAGATCTAGCACCTATCCGATCCTTAGGACTCAGTTAGTCCCACCCACTCCTCCCTGCCCAGGTAAAAAAGCTGATATGCAGAAAGGGCCTGAGGTCCCATATATATAAAGAGAGAAGCTGGACCTGAACCTGGGATTTTGGACTTTTGCAGAGAATGCAAACCTGCTCCGAACTCCCCAAAGTGATGTCCTCTAAGCTTAGAACCCCTTAAGGGGTATTTAAGTGCCTAGAACTTTTGCTTGCCTTTTCCCACTCCTCTACCTAGATCAGCAGTGCCCTCCCAGTTCCCCCATTCCCTTCCAGCCCCTTCCTGGTTGCAGGCACTTCAGAGGCCCAGGCAAGCCCACCCGAGGCCAGGCCTCAAAGACCTTAAACTTAAGGCTTTGCTGTGCCCTGGTCTACAGCTAGCTAGTCACCTTGAGCTGCTCATCCCAGTGCTCCCACCCCAAGACAGCTGAGGGTGGGAAGGGAAGGAGAGCAGAAGAAATGGCTTTAGGCCCTGGGAAGGAAGCCCAGGACTCACAACAAACTCAGGAAGTGGTGGTGGTGGTGGTGGGGGGGAATGTGCAGAAAACAGACAGGTATAGAAAGTTTGAACACCAAGGCAGCGTCTGTGGGAGCCAGATTCCCCTGGGCCTGCCCCTGCAGGAGGACAAGTCTGAAGCAGGGACCAGCTCAGTCTCGCTCCCTGCTTAGGCCAGAGCCAGGGGTTGCCTGTCCCTCCCCCATTCCACCCAGCCCCAAACCTCAGAGCTGCCACCCGGCCCCTGGAAGGGGGCCTGGAAACTCAGCATTGCAGAATCATCAGATTTTCTAGGCTGTGTGTGTGTACACTTGCACACATGTGCTTTTTTGAGAGAGGCAGTGGGGGGGGGGGGTAGCTGACGTGAAAGGGAAGAGGTTCCAGGTACCAGTATGGCCAAGAGGTGGTGGAAGCATCCTACCCCCATCCCTCCTCACCTGGGAACACACTTCACTGTGTTCTTTCTAGCGGAGTCTCCATTAACAGCTACAGAGGGGAGAAGGGGGGTGGAAGTGCCCTACTTCAGAATCTAAGTAGAAAAGAAGCAGCAGGACATGAGTTTAGGTAAAGGGGGGCTCTCAGAACCTGCCCAAGGGTTCCCACAAAAGACAGGCCTCTTGGGGCAGCACAGACTCCATAGCTAGTCCTATGGACAGAGCCTTGAGGAGGCTGGCCAGAGCACGTGCAGCTGCCAGCGCCCTGCCCAATCTGGGGCAGCCTCGGGGAATGGCAGAGGGGCTCTGGGAAGGGTGCAGAAAGGCTCTGACAAATAAGTAGCAGCCGCCCCAGCCCAAGCCTTTCCATTCAGCAAAAATAGTACCACAAAAGCTGTATCTCCTCCCGGGTAACCACCCCCACAGACAAACCCACATCCTCTCCCTAGAGAACCCCTGGGGTCCTCCCGAGGTCTCAAAGCACCTTACTGATTTCTTATGAAGAGAGCCAGCCAGGAAGCAGAGGAGGGACAGGGACAGGTCCAAGAGTCCTGGCTCCCAAATGTGAACTGGCCTGATCTCTCCCTACAGCAGTCCTAGGAAATTCTCTTCCAGTCCCTCCCCTGCCCTCCCCCAGCCTGAAGCCAGGCCTTGGGCATCCCCCACACTGGAAAGAGATAACCACCGGGCAGGAGAGGGGCAGGGTGGCTCAGGACAGCCAAGCCTCCCACTCTCCCTGCTTCCTACACTCTGGGGAAGGCAGCCAGGGAGTGGGGGGAGGTCTAGGTCCCACTGACCAGGCGGTAAAAGAGCAGGGGAGGGTCTGGGCTTGCCTGTGTGCACACATGTGCATACCTGTCTGGATGGAGGCAGGAGTGGGTATTCAGGGACAACAAGGAGGAGGAGGGAGACAGGAATGCCACATTGTGGAACAAATGTCCGTTTTGCTGACTCTGGGATAGGTAGAAAGGGAGAGATCTCTTCTCCCCTAAAGTCCTCCTGCTGGGGTCCTGAGTTCCAGCAACAACACACTGGGCTTCTGCTACCCCGTGCTGAGCAGCCCTGGATGGCTGTGCCTCTTAGCCACGGGGTAAAGGTGTGGGAAATTCCTTCTCACCAGCAGGCACCCAAAAGGCAACAGGACCGTAACTTTGTAACTATAGGGTCCTGCACAGGAGTGTGGCCTTGGGATGGGGATACAGTCCTGGGAGAAATCCAAAGTCACACACTAGCTGGCCCACGCCCCTAACAGCACTTCTCTGTCCCACTCACTATGTCTCCTCCAGTGTCTCCCTGCCTCCTCTTGGATGAGGCTTCCGAGATCCTAGTTCACTGAGTCTCTGCCTCCCCCACACAAGCAAGGACAAGCCTGGGCCCATAAAGTTGGGGCAGAACAAGCTGGCTTGGGCTGGCCCAGGATTTAGAGGGTGGGAGGACTTAGAACAGATACCTAGGATCCTCTGGCTTCTCCAGAGAGGAACTGAGGAGGGCAGCCATGGAGGGGAGTGGGACCGGTGGAATATTTAGGACCCCAGAGTCTTGACCCCCAGCACCTGACCCCTTGGAATTGTATAGGGTAGCAGCCTTTGCCTCTGGGGGGCAACAACAGTCTGTCAAGAAGCTCCCCACTTCCTAGGGGCTGCCAGAGAACAGAGACTTCTGGGAAGTCCAAATATCATCCCCTCCCACCCCTCCCTAGGGCCTTCTGACACTGGGGACAGGGAGCTGTGGTTCACAGCCCTGGAACTGGAAATCACCAGAGGAGGGAACCAAGAGTTTGGGCATATGTGGCCAGAGCTTGGGAAGGGTGAGGGCACCGATCACAGCCTCAGATGGGACAGGATGCCATCATCACCTTGCTCAGGATACCTTTCTCTGCCCTCCCAAGGGCAGCCTAAGCCCCACCCAGGCCACTGGGAACACCTAGAAACAAAGCCCTCCAGAACCCCTCCATGACCGCAGCAGAACTGGCAGCCTGGTTTCAGGGAAAAAGTAGGCAGTGAGGAAGAAGAAGGCATCTGGAGAGAGGTGGGACTCCTGGCCATGCCCTGATGCTGCCCCCAGGCCCATTCCCCCAGCCTTCTTCCACTGGCCTGGTCACTCCTGAGCTCCACTGTGAGCAAAGTACTTCACAGGCCTTACACTATCTGATAAGAGAGGTGCTGTTATCATCCCCTGGGAGGGAGGAAGCTCAAGGAGGCTCAGTGCCTTGCTCACGGTCAGAGCTAATAAGCTACAGTTTGCTTCCAACTCTCACTATACTATCTCGGGAGCTGAGGGTGGCTAGAACCTAAATCCCAGCTCGGGAAGACAAACCAGCAATTGGTGTGACAGGAAGTTTGACACCTGCCTGGGATAGATCTGCCGCAGGTATCAGCGGAGGGTTCCAGAGGGGAAAAGCCACTCCCATAAGCAGCCCAGATGGGGCAAAGCCCACTCCAGAGAGGGTAGAGAGGAGTGTGCCAGGCCCCCAGACCAGGCTGGGGAGGGGCTGGCACAGGGCTGTGATTGCATCTTGTCCCATCTGTGGCTGGCAGTCAGCACCCTTGCCCGTCCTGCTCTCTGGCCAACCCCCTCAGTGGATGTCCAGGCATTTCTAACCAGAAACAAGAGATGGTGTGGGCAGAGGCAAAAAAGTATCCTTTCCACTTCAAACCCACACACAGGAAACAGGGCATTCTCAGGGTCTTGGTCAGTGCCCAACCATTACCCCCAAGCCCACCACCAACTACCTTCCCTAGCTCCTGGCTCCCAGTTTTCTTGCTCCCTGATCAGGAGCTCAGTTCTCACTGTCAAACCATTGCCAGGCCCCAGCCATAGGGGCCAGTGCTCATAGCCAACAGGGTGGGTCTCAAACTCTGGAAACCTGGGGCCACTGGGCAGACCAGTGTGGGGAGACTTTGCCTGGTTCCTCCTCCCCACGCCTGTGGTATCCTAGCTTCCTGTTCTTGATAACAATCAACAGCTTGGCCCAGAGGTGGTGGCCCTCTTTCCAATCCCCACCAGGGCCCCAACTGTTGTTGAGGGGTAGGGTGGAGGCCAGCCTCAGGTCACTGCCCACAGCAAGTCAGGGATTCCCAGGCTCCTGCTCCCCTCCACCCTAGAGCCAAACACTTCTCCAGTTCTAATCAGCCTCCTCCTCAGGGAAACCCACCCACTCCCCAGAGGAGCACAGGCTACAGGGAAGAGGGAGCCAGGATCAGCCAGCCATGGAGGGCCTCAGAAAAGAGCTAGTCCTTGTGTCTGCTGCTAAGAGTAAGGGCAGCTGCTGGGCGCCTTTTGAGCCCCAGAAGAACATTCTTGGTCTTCATCTCAACCCCCCTCCCCTATGGGCCAGCAGAAGGCCAGCCCCCTCCCCACCACCCCCTCCAGCATGCCTACCCCCTGTGCCTATTGTACATCATTCTTTTTTTGCTGTCATCATTTGACAGCTGAATCAGGGAAGTGGGAGGAAGAAAGAAGACGAGGATTGTGTGTTGGGGGCCGGGAAGGGTGTTTGGAATGTTAGAAGGTAGGAGATGTGCAGCGAGCATGAACCGGCTAAGATGCTGCCCAGCAAGGGGCCTGCTAAGGCCAGGCAGGGGCAAGGGGCAATGGTGTCTTACTCTTGGGGGCTACTTCCCGGGCCTCAGGCATCCAGGCATCTCAGGACTGAAGAGGACATGGAAGTCCCCTGGTGTGAAGGCCAGAGACTATCCACCATCTGTAAGTCTCCTGAATACATATCAGGGTTCTGGGAGGAGGCCTAGAGGTAGCTGGGGACCCTGGGGGAGGCCCTCAGGCTCTCCCGCAAGCCATCTCTGCTATCTGCTTCCCAACTGGCTGGCCTGGACTCAGGCAGAGGCAGCTGAGAGCTGGGGTGTGCCCCTGTGCCCTTCTTTCTCCTGGCAGAGGAGGGACTCTTGCCTCCTCCTCTCCCTACCCCAAATCTGTGTCACATCTGCTCTGGGAAGATGTGGCCTGTACTTGGCCAGGAATTCCCAAGTCTTGAAACTACAAGGCTCTGGAACAGAAGCAAAGAAGTAGAAATTAGTCTCTGTCCAAGGTTAGGTTGAGTAGGGGACAGCTGAGCAGTGCCCAGCAAGCAGGCAGAGGCTGGACAAGAATGACAAGGACCCAGAGGAGAAATACAGCAGGAGGGAAGAGGGTTTGGAAGCTAGGGGAAGCCAGGTAGTCAGGGAAGGCCCAGCCTCTCGCCCATTCTCAGAGAGCAGGGCCTTGGGCCCCAGAGGGGCACCGGCAGGAGGCACCCGACCCCTGGTAGCAGCAGCAGCAGCAGACACAGGAGGGCAGCATGCAGCTGGGGTGTGCGTGGGTGGCAGTGAGGAGGGGCGGAGGGAGGAAGCTGGCTTCCTGAAGCCTTCTCAGCCCTCAAAGACAGACCGACAGATAGACAGACAGCTGGCAAGAGGCAGCCTGGGGGCCACACCTGCTTCAGTAAGTACCTGAAGAGGGGAGTTGGAGTTCATGGCCCTGGGATGGTGCGAACTTTAGGGAAATGGGAGGGCATCTCCAAGGAGGGTGTGCGAGAGGCTGAGTTGGGTGCTATAGTGCCTGGCTGGGGAAGGGGTGCTAACAGACCTGATGTCCCCAAGGATAGAAGTACAGGGAAGCCACAGGGGGCTGCAAGGAGAGCAGAGAATAAAAGGCCCCCCACTGTAGCAAGAGGATCTCTACCACTCACACCTGCACCAGGCCCCCTCAGTCCCCCTGCCTCTTCTTATGGGTTTGGCAACTCTGACACCCCTATCTCCCCAGCCACTGTGACCCTAGCTCTGGGAGATGGGGACTGTGTCCACAGAGGAGATGGTCCCACCACCTCCATGCCCCCTCTTGTGCCCCAGCTGTCGCCTCACCATGCACTGTCACTCAAGGGCTTGGTGAGGCCATTTCCTGTGACAGTTACAGAGGCGGGAGACGGGGGGGATGGGCAGGAGGAGGAAGGAAACACCCCCAGCCTACCTCCCTGGACGGAGACCCCAGAAGCCAGAAATAAACTTGAGAGTGGAACTGCCAGCAGTTAGGAGAGGACCCTGTCTGCTAGAGGCACCTCTGGATTCCCAAGTAGTTTCAGTACTACTGGACGCCTCAAATTCATCCTTCAGGAGAAGGACCACTGGTTGGCTCAGTGACAGTTTATATGAGCCTTCTTCTCTAGAGAACGTATATTTTATATTTCCTCCCTTGTCTTTTCTCACTTGGACCCAGCTCAGAACTCCATGGACTTTGGTCTCTTGCCTCTCTCCCCTCTCGCTCTTCCTCCTCCTGAATTCTTTCCTATCTTCTATAATCCCTACCTTTTATCTTGCCCTTACTCTCACCCAGACTGCCCACTCTCCTGGGTCCCACCAAAAAGATCCTGCCCTTTCCATAGCGAAAACGAGGCCACTTCTTGGCCAACAGAGATACCCCCGGTGAAAACAAAGCAGAAAGCTGGCCTCGTGGTAGGAGCCTCCTTCTGGCCAACCAGACAGACCAGAAATCAGCAGTGTAGGTCTCTGTCTTTCAGGCAGACCTCATGGCTGAGTGAGCCTCCCCTGGGCCCTGTACCCCACCCCAGCATGGTCCTGGCCCGTGGGGGGCGCTCCAGAGCACAGCCGCTGACCTTGTCTTTGGGGGCAGCCATGACCCAGCCTCCACCCACCAAAGTGCCAGCCAAGAAGCATGTGCGGCTCCAGGAGAGGTGAGATCTTTCCTAGGGGAGGGAGCATCCGCAGCCCTGAGCC